CTTTTCAAAGTATTCTTTTTATCAGAATCTGTAATATTGTCAAATGAAAACAGGCAGAATGGTGAGCAGAAGCAATCTCAGTAAATGCTTTTGATTTTGAAGTTATTGGCTGTTGAGAATTCCTCTCATCTAACAGAATGTGAGGATTCTGGACAAAAATAGCATGTGTATTCATCAAAGTAGAAGACAAACGTATACAGTCCTCTTTTATATTCCCCACATAACCTGTTGTCGGATGTTGCGGGAAACTGTCTCCTACCTGGGATTAGTGAGTTGGACTGCGCTTCTGAGTCCTGTTTCACTGACATTCCTGTCTGCCTGCCACCACCCTAGGTAACCATACCTAAACCCCAAATCCACCCTATAGTAACCCTGGAAGACAGAGTCCAAGTGCCCCCTGAGGTTTCCAAGGCAGTGATCTGTATGGAAGCAGATTCCCAGGTCTTCATCCCTTGGAGTGGCTGGTAGAGTTGAAAGGTGAGTGTTTACCCATTGCATCACTGACCGTGAGCTTGAGTGCTCATCCTACCACACCACAGCTCCTGGCTATCCATAGATCTATGCCAACAGCACTCTTGCCACACCCACTACACAACTTTGTAAGAGGAGAGCGCTCAGAATATGTATTTGATAAGTGGATTCAACTTAGAAAATCAATCAATTAGTTTGGTGAGGAAAAAGTTGAGACTTGACTCGATGGTACCTAACAACAATCAGGAGTCCTGATGGTACTGTAGGATAAACACATTGGACTGCTAACAACAAGGTCACCAGTTCAAACCCACCAGCCACTCCAGGAAAAAGGATGTCAGAAAAAAGATTTTTAGTCTCAGAAATCCTGTATAGGGTCAGTAGGAGTCAGAATGAACTTGATGGCAGTGCATTGTTACTATAGACAAAAAAGCATTCTGTCCTCATATTTCAGGTAACTCGGGGACTTGTCAGATCTGTGCTGTACATGTACATTATAGAGTCAGTTCTGACTCATAGCAACCCTGGTGGGGGCAGAAGACAGATACACACACACACACACACACGTATATACCAGCAGAGAATTGTTCTGTGACCACCCATTTATTTCTCTGTTTCTATACATTTTTTACCATTCTGGTCATTAATGATAACATTTCACTGAAAACTCTCTGAACCTTGCTAAGCTCTTCCAATCAAAATAAAGTGCAGATGAAAAAGACAGGAAGGGTTGGGGGAGTAACAAAATGGAGATCTGAGAATCCGCTATTAAATGTTGCTGAGTGACGGGACGGTAGGCTCTCGTGTAGAAGGCATTCCAGGTGCACAAGCTGGTGGCCCTGAAGAGCAGCTCTCGGTCACCTGTTACTGTTGGCTCCCTCTGAAGTACATTTTCTATTGTTCCTATAAACTCTTCTCTCGTTTTGTACCTGTACATGTCAGCAAGTGAAGTGTGGACTTGAGAGGGAAGATGTACCGTCAATTGCTGCCACTCTTCTACTGAAGTCAAAAGTAACAATGAAAAGGCTCCACACCCGTCTGAAACTGGCAGAACAGCACACTTCGCTTTTAAAACACGGCATCTGAACAGAGAACTTAACAACATAGGATAAAAAAAACCACTCCCCAAATATGGCAAAATCGACTTAAATATTACAATGAAGCCCCCAATGAAGTATATGAAAATCTTTACCAAAAAATAGTTTATTGCACAAAATTTAAGGATTTCCCAAACACTCTTAAAGTTTTAGAAAATCAACATGCTTTTCAAAGTTACCAACTATACATGGTGGCACATTTTCCCTAGAAAGTCCCACCCTAAGTACTCCCTTTTACAAGTCCATTTTCAGTAGAAGTTGCCTAGAGCCTCTCTAAAATCTTACCACTCCAGCATCGTATAACCTGAGATCACCGTAGAATGAGACTTCCGTGGTACTACTTCAGTCTGAAAAAGGGCCCAGATGTCTCTACATGCCAGCACTACCCATACCAGAGAGATCTGTTAAAGGCAGGTGGCTTTAAAAGACACCAGTCACTTTCATCCCTAGAAAGCTTTACACATGGCATTAAGTTTTATTAAGAAAATATTCATGGAATGAATCTCTGTCATGGTGACTGTAGGTCACGGCTTCTGCAGTATCACTGTACCGAGAGAAAGTACATCTGAAACTGAGAAAAAATGACAAGCAATGAAAAGCTCCCTAAGGCAGCACCAGGATTCTACCTGCACTGCGGGATCTCCTCCTCAGGGAGCCGGTTCCATTACCTGGACACCAATCTGTAGAAGAGTTCCTTCCACATCCTGTTAGAAACGGCCAAAGGGTGCAACAGAAGTTGAAACTAAGATCCATGGCATCTATCTGACATGGACTGTGGAAAAATTAATGAACATGTGGCAATAAGTATTTTTCTGGAAATGAAGAAAAGCAAATACCATCATGATGTGTCCAAGCCAACACTACTTATGATATGGACATCCTTCCTATCCAGTGTGTATATTTAACAGGCGTAAATCTGCAGCGGGGGGGAACCTATTTTTGTGAAGTAATACTTAAGCTGTTGTGGTTTTTCCATGTGTAAAATACCACACATAGTTCCCCTGCTTCTGCCTAACACAAGAACAACATTTAAAAGTTTAATGAATAAAGAATCTTGCTCTGGGAGGTAGAAGTGCCAGTAGGGTCCCACAACAAATCAACAACAGCAAGTACATTAAAAATCACGTTTTCTCTAAGGTGACTTCTTTGAAAAGCGTAAAGGCAGTGTCAGCTTTAACCCAAGAGGTCTCAATCTGGAACCCCAAGCTATACAGTCAAATCGGAGGGACAAACACAAAATACTAACACACTGTAGGCAGGAACAGACAATGGCAGAGAATTCAGACCAGAGGTAAAGGCTGAGTACTTGTTGAGCCAAAAGTAGGGCAAATACAATGCAAATGGCACACACACTGATGGAAACACAGAGGTGGCGCAGTTCCCATATGTGGGCAGTCATACGTGGGCACCCGTGTACACACAGCGGCTAAGTGGGGAAAACAAGGGCTGAGAAACAGATTTGCTCTCACCTGACAAATAGAGTCAGAATTAGTCTTTCCTCAGAAAAAAAGTACACACTGAACTTAACTCATTTGAGACCTTCTATCAGCAAATATGAGAAAGCAGCTCTGCTGTAGAGTGAGTCTAAGTTATTTCTTGGTTTTACAATGAAAACAAAGGATAATACAACCAAAATAAATAGGAATGGACACTACGATTTTCTTCGCTTATAGTACAAAAACATTAGCCCCAAACAATTTCTAACTTAAGAATATCACATATTTATAGTGAAGTTTTCAAGTATTATTTCGAGGTCAACCCTGTACAAATTACATTTGTATTTTAGAAATTTCAACAGTTGCTAGGGAATTTTTTTTTTTTTTTAAATACTAAACATCTTTGTAGTTAATTCTACTTAATCTTTTCAATGAACTTTCTAACAACATATTACAAGAGAACACGAGCAGGTTTAAAATACCATAGTGTTTTCTCCACAAAACAGACACAGTAATATATCAACATGGACATATTTGGACTGGTCAGTAACACTTCATTTTTAGACCAGTTGATCTGCATAGGAGTCACATGGACCCAATCTCTCCTTTCTCTAATTTAGAACAATAAACATTAGGTTTTCTTAGCAAACTAGAGGGAAAACTGTACAAAACCTCAAGTCTCACAGCAGTTTCTAGTGTTGAAATGTTTCAGGTGGGAAAAAAATGTATGCAAATGAAAACTCCTATACTTAAGGCGTTCTCTAAATGAGACCTCAACAGGCCACACCCCTTATCTTCCTGGTGCTGACTCATCTCTGTAGACAGCACAGAGAAACCAAACCGGGCACTCAAGTGTTTCTCTGGCTGAATACACTGGCCCCTGGCAAACACCTTCACAATGGTACAGAAGTGTGAGAAGGAGAATGCCTTGGTACTTCGCCCAACAATCTACAGATAGGGAGAGTCAAACAGGGCCTAGGAGTACCTACAGGGAGCCCCTGGTTCTCTCCTCCATCTACGCGGGGTTGCTCCTTCCTCCTCCTCCACTTTCTTTTCTCTCTTTTTTTTCTTGTCTCCACTCTCCTCAGATGTCTGGGCAATTTGCATCTTTGGGCGCCCCCTGGGGGCTGTCAGGTCTAAAGAAGGATCCCAACTGTTTCTTCAACAGGTGGGCTGGCTGAGGTGTGACAAACAGGTCATAACGGAACTCATGCACTTTTGAAAAGACAGGACAGTGGAGGAAAAGACAGTCAAAAATAAACTACAATAAAGAACGCTTTTTGTGCAAGAATATTTGGTTTTAGAAGATACAGTAAATAAAATAATTATATTTCTTAAAATATAGTTTTCTGACTTACATCCTTAAATCCTACAAAGAACATTATTTCCTGACAGCAAATGTTCAAAAGGCAATGAATAAAAAGACAATTTGGGTTGCTTTCAAATAATATAAACATATATATTTTAAAGATTAGATAATGATTTTATACGTTTATATATACATCCAATGATAAGCTGGCCGTTTTCAAACAAGACACAATAAAATAAAAAACCAAAAGGGCAAAATGAAGTTTCACTTCTAAAGGAAACTAAAGCTGTGTGGTGAGGTACCGCCCAGGTGCCCCACACGGGGATGTGTCCTGAAACGTTCCCAAGCGTGACTTGTCACACATGTGACCCTCCAAGAGCAGCAGTTACCATTACTCGTTAGATACTGCCTACTGAAAATCACCTATAAGACACACTGAGAATTTTCTCACTTAAACTTTGTTTTTAAAATATGGTCATTTCTATGGAACAGCTGATTGTGAACTGCAAATGACTTCCTTTCAATCTTGGCTCTTGTTCTGTTATTCTCCTTGTTAAAGGTAAAAGCAAAACGGAAAGTTTCATCTCTTAGAAAAGCATACAGCACAACATTAAAATAAATAGTGATAAAAGAAGCTTCCTTTACATAGCTAACAAATAACTCAGAAGGTGAGAGGATCTGTGGCGGTCACTGTTCCAACACTTCCATGGGCAAGCTGCTTGGATTGTGTTTCTCTGTGTCACCCCTGGGGTTAGCGTGATCTCCCAGAGGACCAGGGCTGGGACCAGCCAGGTCCCCGAGGCAACCTTCAACTTGAGTCCATGAGGACAGTGACTCATGCACAGTGATGGTGTGTTCTTCCATCTGGCGCTGTAGGCTGTCCATCTCCAGTCTGTGGAGAAGACAGAACACTACATCAGACAAAGGCGCCCACGGCTTTCAGAAAAGACTTGTCAGCTAAACTGAGAGGGCAACTCGCTCCCTAGCATTTGTAGTGTCTTCAGTCACAAGAGGAAAATCCGAGAGGGCCCGAGGTCAGCAGGCTCTACCAGCGATGTTCTCCCTGATGTGTGCAAAGGTAACAGGCACACCGTTCAGGCACATGTATGCTTCCACTGGGTGTGGACAAAGGACACTGGGGAAGAAGGAATAAAGATGGAGGGCCTGACTGACCAAGTCACTACTGTGGGGAAATCACACAGCAGGCCAGTGTCAATTAGGATTTTAGTCCACTCACTGGGTCAGATGAGATGGCCCATAACCTCCCCAGAAAGAAGGCCACCAAAGCACTGTACCCTTGCCTAAGACGAAGCCTCTGCCACAAGGGTGGTTTTACCCAGCTGTGTAAATAGACCTGCTCACATTCACTTCAACACAGAACATCACTTGTCAAAAACCAAAACAAGGGAACATCAGGCACTTACTTCAGCTGCTGGAGGCAGCTATTCAAGTTCTTCAGGGGCTCCTTGCTGACAGCGGGTGGGGGCCTGAGCAGCTCCTCCAGCAGCGAGGCGGGCACCGGGCAGTCGGGAATCTTGACCGGCGTCACAGGATTGGAGGAGCTGGCCTCTCCCTTCAACTCTTTCCTCTGAAAGTATAATGTTAGCGTTTCCCTTCTGAGGCCTTCTCTGAGCACTGTAACACATCACAAGAGTTTTCATAGGGCCTCCCAAGAACACCTTGATGGCCGTGTTCTCACGGGGAAGGAGGAGGTCTTGCCCATTCAGTATCTACAACACTTGACAATTTCAGGAGTGTATACATGACTGCATCTCTAACGCCCCAAACAAAGTAAAGCCACAGGGTTTTATGCTTGGCTCAGGTGCTACTCTGAGATGCTGGGTTCTCTATGATTTGTCAGAAACATTAAAAGGAAGTCATGGGCAACCTCCATGTTTTGGTAAAGGGTCCTCAAGAGAATGACCCTAACTCCTAGACAAAACTCTCAGGGACTTTTCCAGGAGACCTTTGGGTTTCCTAAGAAATCTGGGAGAACTTCCAACTTACCAGAATCTCTTTCTAGAAGTTATAGGCACACCCTATTTTATCACGCTCCACTGTATTGTGCTTCATAGACGGTACATTTTTTTTTTTAATAGATCTGTGGCAACGCTTGCGTCCAGCAAGTCTATCGGTACCATTTTTCCTACAGCATGTGCTTACTATGTGCCTCTGTGTTCCGTTTTGGTCATTCTCACAATACTTCAAAGGTTTTCATAATGCATTATAGTGTAAACATAACTTTAATATGCACTGAGAAACCAGAAAATCTGTGTAACTCCCTTTATAGCAATATTTGCTTTATTGTGATGGTCTGGAACCGAACCTAAAACATCGCTAAGGTATGCCTGTTTAATCTTTTCCACAGACAGGAAATTGATGCTAACTAAATCTGTGCTGAAAGACGTCTCTGCACCTGGAACACACCTGCATTCTGGTCCACGTTCATGTAGGCAAGCACTCAGACACTGAGGAGACTGTACCTGCAGCATCAGGCCCTCAGACCCTCTGGCAGTTGCTGGTCTCCACTGTGCTCGCTGGTGAGCCAGCAAACACGTATTACTTAACCAGGATTGTTTCACCGCAGAGTAGTCTCTCAGTTAGCTTATCAAGCACATTACTACAAAATGGCACCTGAATTCACGAAGAGAGGCAAATATGTTGTTGGAAAGGCACCAAAATAAAAATGACGTGACCTGTTGTCCAGGCAGAGTATTCCACGAGCACGTCTCCTGTCTGGCATACAGCAGGTGCTCAGCGACGGTGGTTGAGTCTATTAACGTTTGGCTGACTAGAAAATATAGCAGCCACAGCTGTACACAAATCCGCAGCGCCCCTGAATTCCGCTGGAGGAGACTCAGGTCTACCTTACCTTCTTTGTTGAGCTACGTTTCAGGTCTAGCTTCAGCTGCTGGTTTTGCTGGAGCAGAGTCTTCATGTTGTTCTTCAGTTCTGACACCTTTGCTTGAAGCATAAATTTATCTTTCTGGGTCATGGACAGATCTTCCCGCACCGTTTCCAGCTCTGATTTGATATTCTAAACCAAGTGAAGTCACAGAAATTTTCTAAGTCAAAAGCTGAAAGATTTTATACACACTGCTAAGGTCACAAATCTACAAAAAAACGCTGAGCTTCACATGACAAAAACAATGTTTCCTGTCTTGGCATGATTCCCACTCTTAAGAGTTTACATTATGAACTATCCAAGCACATCCACTCTCTCAATGTTCTTACCCAAATTTCAGATCTGCTGCCAAGAAACTCTCACATCTCAAGTTGTACAATGAGCCCTTAAGTTCACCTGTTGAACCTCAAAGTTAGCTACTAGATTAATACAAAATATCAATTATATTGTTTCTTAGAAACATTTTGAATATTCACTATTCAATCATTCATTTACAAGTGATGCTGTTAAAATGTATATTGTTTTTATTGTTGTTAAGTCCCACTGAGTCATTTCCGACTCATAGTGACCCTGTACAGGGTTTCCGAGGAGCCGCTGGTGGGCTTGAACTGCCAACCTTGTGGTTCACAGTCCAGTGCTGATCCTACAGGGCCACACCAGAAGTTCAAAAGTGCATTGGGATTCAATATATCTGGGGGGTGGAAATGAAAATTCTTAGCAAGGGTTTGAACAGGAATGAATAGGTTCGAAGCCCTGCCTGGCACTCAGTAGTAAGCAGTGACTGACTCACTCACTAGCACCTAACTTGTGGAATGCTCAGCCCGAGTCTGCACACGCACACGCACACACACACACACACACCTGCAGTAACTGCTGCGTCCCCTCCACTTCTCTCTCACTCTGCTGCTCCGCTGAGTCCAGCAGCTGCTTCAAGGCCTGGATTTCTCTCTCTTTCTGATCCAATTCCCATTTGAGATTTTCCATCTAAAGGGGGGAAAGTCACAGGATCAAAAGCATTTTTAAGTGGCTTCCTTGTAAGAAAATTGCTTTTCATCTGTATCTCTACTTATGGTGACAAAATGGTGTTTTAGAGCCCATTTAGAAAACTTCGCTATCCCTCCTCGAGCAGGCATGAAAGAATTCAATATGTCCATTGGCAGAGCCGTGCAGTGGCCGTCACCTCTTGGTCCCCTGTGGGCTGTCTGCTCAGCTGCTCGTCCAGCTGCTTCTGGAGGAGCTGAAGTTGTGCCCGGGCCTCTGCCAGCTCCTCTTGGAACTGCACCACCTCCTCAGCGTGCTTACCCTCCTGAAGCCTGGGTGAGAAAGAAGCAAGAATGACCACACAGCACTAGAGCTTGCTAGCGGAACCTTATCTGTGCTGGACAAGGTTCATTCTAACAAGAACCTGCTTAGTAAGGTGTTTTACAGACACAAGACCACCACTAACCCTCCTGGGACCCTCTCCCAGAGGGATGCTTCATGAAGCCTTCTTACAGCTTATGGAGGGAAGACTCTCCGGCAGGACCAGGATTTGGCTCCAGAGCCCAATGAAGTTGGTCCACACAAGGACAGTGATCCAGGGCCAATGTGTCTCCATGCTCCTTTCCCACACATCCAGATAATCAATATCTGCCACAGCCCTACATTCCACCATGATCCTGACTTCAGGTCAGCAGTGAGGACTCACGACTTGGATGTGGTGCTGACTGGAATCTCCAGTGAGCCACGCAGCCTGTGCACGGTGTGCTCCTACTGGCTCTTCCTGTCCCAGAGAAGGACTGGCCAGCAGGGGATGAGAAAAAATGGACTAAGCAGTGATCGAGCTCCTGTCTCAAGAGTTACACTGTGGACTTCCCAAAACGGAAAGGGGACTCACTATACTTCTTAGATTTGCCTCCACAGCACTTAGTGATATGTCAACACCCAGGAAAGCCCTCAGTGTGTGTGCTTTCTGCCAGGGGAAGGGCCCAACAAAGACGTCTGGGAGGAGCACTAACAAGGCCACAGGACTTGGCTGTCTTTCTGGGCCCGGCACTCACTGAAGGCTGTCTGCCTCTGTCTGCAGCTTCTGCACTAGATGCTCTTTGGCCTGCAGCTCCTTCTTCACCTCACTCAGCTCTAAGGTGGCAGCCTTAAAGTGGCGGCGGTTGTGTGCCGCGTCAGCCTTGGCTGCAGCCACCTAGAAAGGAGGAAACAAGACTATGACAGGCACAGGGGGCGAAGCTTGTTACTTTACCACAGGCTAACCACCGCACAGCTCAGTACCCAGTAAATCTATTTCCAAAGCATATTAAGTTCCTCATAAACGATTAGAGTACCTAACACAGTGCTTGGCACATAGCAAGCATTGGTATATAATGAATAAAATTTGTTCAGGGTTATCTTGGACTTCTTAAAGTATACATGCATCGTTCTTGTTAAATTGGATTATACTTCACGTCTTCTGAATGCTATTGTAAGAGAAATCTACTTTTCTATCAAACTAACTGTAGGAAAGCTACTGATTAGTATTCGTTTATGATGTAATACCCTTCTTTCTGAACTTTAATGCTTTTCATAGCTTATCAAAGATTTTGTCAAGGATTCTGAGAAGACAAGCAAATTCTTAAGATAACATTGTCTTTTTCCTTTTTCAATAATTTCCTTGTCTAATTGTTACTAACAAGCACTTGAAAGCCAAGTTTTATAGCAAAGGGAGCATTAGGTACATTTCAATTAAAAACCATTTAAAAAGTTTTTTGTCTTAGATTAACACTATGATTTTTGAATTAGGGAAGATCTTTCCTAGAAATTACACAAAATCCATTATTCATTAAAAAATGTGACTGAAAATTTGAGTATCTGAAAAGCAGGAAGAAAATGAATGATCACAGAAACTGCTAGCAGTCTGGTGGTGACGTCCTCCCCTCTGGCCACGGATCGCCTTTGACCTTCGGTAGACGAGAGGCAGCACACACACAGGACGCAGTGCTTCACACATGTGTGCTCAGGGTACTAGAGAGCCCACGTGGGCTCCAGCCATGTCCAGACAGCACTTACACTATCATCTGCCAGCCAATAGGAGGAAAAAGGAGGCATCCAGAAGGATGTCCTAAGGGAGGAAGAGTAAGGATTCCAAAGGCTGTACTATGGGAGGAGAAGTGAGGCTTCCAGAAGGATGCTCTGCCCTGTGTGAGGAGACGCGAGAGTCCAGAAGACGTCTTATAGGAGAAAAAGCCAGGCTTTCCCAAGGCTATCCTGCAGGAGAAGACTTCCAGAAGAGGCCCTACTGGAGAAGCCAGGCTACTACAAACTAAAGTCCCACACTAAGGGCACCCTGAATAAAGGTGGGCAAGCAGTAGACTATCCCAATCAATACACTCTGGATAAAGAAAACAAAACAACAAACCACAACCAATGACAACTTTGGAAAAAATACATGACAGACAAACATACAAAGAGTTTTTACAAATCAGTTTTGTTTTTAAGTTCCAACAGAAGATGTCTGGAATAGTTTTGTCAAAGTAACAGTGGTTGTCACAGAGATTCAAGGTTATCTGTATTTGAATCTGTATGGTTTTTAAAACGTTTTACTAACTTGCATTATTTGTATGATCAAGGCAACGATAATAAATGCATTTTAGAGACATAATTAAGCATTATTCACAACTACTTCCTTAAAGTTACTGTTTTATTTGCAGAAAAATGAAACAGAACCCATACCTCAAACTGTAAACAAAAATGAATGAAAAATCAATCAAAGATATAGATATGATATAAAACCTAAAACTATAAAGACCATCAATGAAAAGACAGGAACAAACTTAGAGGCCCTAATACCAGGCATAAATTTGCAAACAGCAAACAACTGAAGACAAAATAGATGACTGGCACCTCCTAATAATTAAACTTATGCACAACAAAAGATTTCTAAAATAAAGAGAGAACCCACAGATTGGGAGAAAAATTATAGCAATGACATACTGGACAAGGGACTCATTGCTACAATTTATAGAGAATTTCAACACTCAACAACGAAAAGCTGAATAATCCAATTTAAAAATAGGCAGATGACACGACCAAAGACTCACCAAAGAAGACATTCAGGGGCCAAAAAAACCAGGAAGAACCGCTCACAATCATTAGTCATTTTTGTTGTTAAGTGCTGTAGAGTTGGTTCTGACCCATAGCAATCCTGCATAGAGTTTCCGAGGAGCACCTGGTGAGCTTGAACTGCCGACTTTGCAGTCCAAGGCATTAACCCACAATGCAAGGAAGCAAATCAAAACGAGATTTAGTATGTCACCCTGCCAGTAATACAAAGTTAAAAAAACAAAACAAAACACTGGCTAGGTTATGGAGAGACTAGAAATGTCATATGCTGCCAATAGGGCTGTAAAACTGTAAAAAACACCGGACTGTCAACTACAAGGTCGGCGGTTCAAACCCACCAACTGCTCCTTAGAAATCCTATACAGGATCTCTGAGACCAAACCAACTCTACTGCACTTAATTATAACAACTGTGGAAAATGGAACGACACATCCTAAAAAAAAAGGGAACCATATAACCCAGCGATTCCACTCCTAGGGTTATGCCCTAGAGAACTAATAGCCATGAGAGATCTGCACACCCATGTTCACCGCAGCACTTACTCACAGAGCACAAAGATGGGACAACCAAAATGCCCATTAATGGAATAGGTAAACTATAGTACATACACAAACGAACATTAAAAAATAATGAAGAATCTACAAAAGAGTTCATAACATGGATGAACTTGGAGGACATTATGCTGAGTGAAATAAGTCAACCAAAAGTGGGCAAATACTGACATGACTACTATTATAAAGACTTAAAAAGCTTCACATACGAAGAAACACTTCCTGCTGCTGATCCATGGTGGGAGGGGGAAGGAGTATAAACCACTGACTAGAGAGGTAGACATACACTGTTGTTGTGAGGTTCTGACCCACAGAAAGCCTGTGTAGGACTTCGAGGAGGAGCTGCTGAATTTGAACCACCGAGTCAGTTC